TCAGTAATTATATAAATATAAACAAGCTTTAAATGTAAAAAAAATTACAATCTTCAACTAATTTTAAGTCTTTTTCTTAAGGACATGGGGAGACCTATTCAAAGCATCGTGGAACGCTTAACCTGAACACCTTTTTCAGTAAGTGGGGCTAGCCCTTTTCATAAGAACCATCATAAAAAGAAAATATAGTTTTAAAAATTATTTTAAGTTTTTCTAATTAAAATTATTAAATAAAATTTAAATTACTTGATTAAATATCATATATTATTCACAAACAATTTTGAAAAAAATGGATTTTATTGTATTAAATTTAAATGGTAAATAAGTTGTCAAGGAATCATAAAAATTTCAAGCCATACTTAAATAACATTGATAATGATATAGATAAACTTTATGATCGAAGCTAAGAAGTTTATCTTGGAGATGCTTCAAACTACCCATAGCTTCCCATATGCACATCTGCACATAGAGATTCTATATATGCAATTGCCAAATCTTAGAGTCACAAGCTAGCTAGGTTCGTGAAGAAATTCAATCCTCCAAGTTCTTATTCTTTAAGCAAAAGCAATAATATAATTCATATCATTCTGATTGTATAAAACTACTGAATTTAGAAACTTTTATTTCAAAAGCGACTCTAATATGTTAGCAAAAAAAAAAACGACTCTGATATTATATATTATCTTTAATTCTAATTATAAAATCTCGTTTATAGTTTATAAACAAAATCCTATAATTAGAACCGGAGATAATATCACTAAAGAATCAAAGTTTGTGTGGAAACTTATTCAAATCCGTGTAATTCCTTTCACACAATCTGAGGTTTGTGAAAAAAGGGGGGAAATAATTAAAGTGCTTAATTATTAATTAAGCATGCTTGAAAAGTGAAAGCGAAACTAATAATTAATTATAAATGCAAAACCGTGTTTCCTTCAAACAAGTAGCTTTGGTTGGATAGTGATGATTCGTGAAGAACATGTGTGGGAACTTGTCCTACAAGTGAAAGCGATATAAATACAAATATTATGCTAAAACCGTGTTCTATTCACACAGTAAACTTAATTCTTTTTTCCCTAAACTCATCATGGCATTTGAAAATAATAATGAACAAATAATTATAGTGAGTTGGACTCTTTTTAATATGATATGGAAAGTTCTAACACAGCCTGCTTGCAGCTTTTTCTGTTGAAATAATGTACAGAAAAATAAAAAAAAGAACGGGGTTTATCATTGAAACAAGATACAATGGATTTAACTTCTTCTTCTTCTTCTTTTTTCATTGGTCATTATTGCATTTATGATTTTTGGTTTTTGGAGTTTTTCTCACTCAACACTTGTTGGAATAGGAAGTGTATCTCATATTCCTGCCTGCTGATCTTGAACATCCACACAGAAGGTAATTCACCTTTTTAGAGCGAGTTATATATTCATGTAAATGGAAACAAAATTCTTTTATATATTTATTTCGTGCATTAAAAATCATGATCCAATTAATCATCATTTCAAACAAACCCACTTTGATGTTGGATCATTTATTATAACAAATGCAAAAAGAAGAGTTTTTTTTTTTTAAAGGTAGATGACAACAACATATGGATGGAGGGAACGAGAGAGTTAGTTTTTATCTGTCATTACTCAATTAATTGTAATGATACACACTTTTGTAATGACACACACTTTTGGTCATTTATAATAACCCAATTGAAATTGCTTCCCCTTTGTAAATTGTAATGACACACACTTTTGGTCATTAATATAAAAGCTCGTTTGATTTTTATTTTGCTTATAAATATAAGATCTTAATTCATTTTAACTCTCATATTTATCTATTTTTTTAAATAGTCCTTGTAATAATTATAGTTCTAGCTAATATACTTGATTACCAAAGATATTTTAGGAAAGATAATACCTATTTATTACAAATAACTAACTTAACTAGTTTTCTTAATTTACTCAAATTAGTCAACTAACTTTTATATTAAGGACTGAAAGTGGTATTATTTATATTTTACCCAATCTAGTCGTAATCTTCCGATGCTAGTCTTCTTTCGTTAAAAAAAGGATTTTTCGAAGAAATTTAGTGAAACAAAATGTGACGGGTCAATCGATGTTCTTAAGGTTTATACTTTTGAAAAAGCCGATGAAGAAATATAGGTAATGATTTATGAATAATAGTTTAAAGAGCTTCTTTTTGAGTCTCTGACAGACGCCAGAATTGTCACTCTCCACAAAATATGATCAAACTTGCAAATTGATTATCAGCCGCAAAGGCAACAAAACTAAAAAGACAAGGCATACCGTCAAAATCAACCTTTTTTGTTTCATTAAAAAATTTGTAATTAATAATTTTGAATTAAAAAAATTTATACTCAAATTTTACAAAAACTTAGCGTAAACGATACTCCTACGTTTTACAAAACAGATTTTTCACAAATATTATTAGAAGTATACAGGTCTCTTTCTTCTATTTTTAAACTTTTGAAAAAAAAAAATCACAAACTTTTCATGAGTTATTTTTTTTTCTTTTTTTGTCAGTGAAATTCATTTTTCTTTTTAACTCAAAAGGATGTTGTTTAAAACTCAATAGGGAGAGGAAAAAACATAAAATCCCACTCAATTAATCTATTCAAAACTCTTACTAAACTAGTTAAGAGATTAGCCGGTACACTAGTTTGAATCAATATGGATTGGGGTCGTGGTGAATCAGGGGTTTGAATACTTTCTAAAATAAGTATCTATATTTAGTATCCGATAGTGTTTCTAATCAAACTACATTGTGAATTGGATTGAATTTTAGAACCATGAAATTAAATTCACTAATATAAATGTATCTAACTTTTCAATGCCCTGATTCCGCGTCTGCTGAGAAGTGACTTGGCTTTGCATTAAAGCATGATGATGATCCGACAACATTGGACTGAAGATAAGAAGTGGATAAATGTGTTGTCACGTGAAAGGCACGCAGCACTATAGTCTTTGCGGTTTAGTTTCAAAGGTCGGTCTTTCTTTGGTTGAAAATACGCGCACACATTCCCCTGCCTCTTCTACTGAATCATGATCACTCCATTACATCAGAAGTTTCTCGCGCTTGCCCTACGTCGGAGGTCAAACTGGGTCAACCCAACTCTTTCACATGATTACTAATTTTGTTGTCATTTATTGAAAATTAGTATCAATTGATTATTTTCTTTGAAGATACGTCCACGTACCCTCCGTGCTTGACATATGAGTTAGTTGAGATTGAATTTGATATTACCTCTGGTTATAATTATAAGATCTTGTTTGTAGACTACAAACAAGATCTTATAACTATAACTAGAGGCAGTACTAAATGTAAAACATTAATTCACTTTATCTTTCATTTTCATTATTTTTTCAAACTAATTTACTCAATTATAAATTGATATACTCCTCCGGTCCTGAATATAAGATTATTTTTGTAGTGTGTATAAGGGTCTTATATTTAGGACCGGAAGAGTACAATCTAATGTTACGCTACACATAAATATTTTAGGAAGATCAAGTCATATTTATCATTATTTATTTATTTATTTTACTTAATCTATTCAAATCATTATTTAACTAGTTTTTATATTACGTATCGAAGGGTAATAACATTTTTCATTGCATTTATTAGTATTACTCCTCCGGTTCTAGTATAATGGTCTTATATTTAGGACCGGAGGAGTATTAATTATGGTCGTATAGACATCTGGTTAGCTGTTCGCCTAACGAAACAAAACTTCGTTTTCTCTTCAATAAGTATCAACCCAATAATACTTGTTTATCATTTCTCAACCGTTTAGATCAAATCTTAATGATAAAATTAAACACCGAATCGTTTGAAATAACAATTGTTGCTAGAAAAACTTAAATCATTTTATGACAAGTATATACCAAATCAGCAGATTAAAAAATTCTCTCTTATGACGTCCTCTAAAAGAATCAAACTTGAACGGTTCAACTAATGAGAAGAGAATTTACCTCACCTAATTTAAGGGCTTAATTGTGGATTAGGTCATAGTGGTGTCAATTCTGGAGTTTGAAGCAGTTCAAGTCTAAGACTCAGATTAATTGAACCCAATGATTTGGTGGGACACTGTTGCTTTAACGACCCACTGAGTTTGTAAAGTCCATTCATAGTTCAACTTAAAAAGCCTGTTTCTGCTTCCAATTTGATTCCTTTCACTCTTACCATTTCAAACCGAGGCAACTCCGCTGCAACTTCGCCACCCTAATTCTTCCATAATTAATTGAAGAAATCTAGAACGTTTGGAATTTGGACCAGACAGTGGTAAGAAGGACCAGAGCGTTCCAGAGCATTATTTTCTGTTTTGTTGGCTAATTACATGTGATTTCTTACTGAAAGTAATCATATTCAAATCACTATAAGGCATTAAATATATACAATTTTTTAACGGGAATTCGAACTTTAATTTATCATATTGTGAGGAACTAACCCCTTCTGTTAAACTTAATCCCATTTGTTTTACATTCAAATTGTTACGTTAGCGTGAGCAAACAAAACCAGCAAAAACTTTTTTGGGCCAAAAACCCAGAAAATGTTGAGTATAGCAGTCTAGCAGATAGGATAAATAATTCTATGGTTTCGTTTAGTCTGCAAAATTAAACGAAATAAATTTTAAAAAAAGTTGAGGCCCAAAGTAAAAACAAAAAAAACAAAAGAAGCATGTACCGTTAATCTCAATTTTTTTACAAGAAAAAAACATTATCCTGGTAATGATATATGACATAATAATTGGCCACTACACAATAAGTAGCATATTGAATATAGTTTATGATAAGCCATATTTTTCATAATCTGTGAAAAAAAAATACAATTTGCTATAGATTTTACATTTAATATTGAATTTGGATGCTTCAAGTCCATACCGTTGTTTTGTTAGTTCGGAACCAAAACTATTGAGCCTCTTTTACTTTCGTGACGTGTGAGCAGTTAAGCAAAAACCAATTCATTTTAGTGACACCCATCCATAAACTATTTAAAAAAACAACCAAACTTTATTCATAAACACACGTTCAACTCCCTTACAGGCTACAGCTGTAAATTGAGAACAATGCGTTAAATTTTTCCTTCAGGAGGAATTTTGGCATAGGGGGAATACTTGTATTACATTGAAGTCCAACTTGAGGCCCAACAGCACCAAAACAAAAGAGCTGCTCAAAATCTTCAACCATATAAATAGTTATCATCTTCAAAGATATTTGGGCCACCTTCCCCTGTCGGCCTGCCCCAGTTCTTGTCAGGGACGTTTGTTTCCCCCAATAACGAAATTGCTCCACGCAATGACCAGCGGACCAACAGCGAGATGAATCAATGCACCAGGGAAAAGAAAGGAACAAAAGAAAATAATCGAGGCATGGCTATTCTTTTATTCACAAATTAGGCTCCTGAATCCCTATGCATTTATAGGAAATAAGATGCAATTTTCTGTACATAAATCTTGTGTTGTAGCAGATGATTTCATCAGCTTTCTGTGATGCCTTGAACATAATATTCAGGTCTGCAAAAGAGATTTTTAATCAGAGCTCTTAACGACTTGTTCAACTGAGATCTAATATAAGAATGAGCACCAGCTGGAAGAACTAACATGGCTTCTAGTTAATGTGATACGAGTTTAATATTCGAGTTGTTGTAAGATAGATTCCCTGCAGAAATAGCACAGTTCAATTTTTGGCAAACTAAGTCGATGGATGAGGCAGATGGCTCTTTCCATGAAGCTCAATGCTATATCAGGTCATAGGAAACTAATTCCTCTTGCTAAATAAGGAACAGCAGGGCTCAGTGGGTTCAGGAAAGGCAACAAAGCATCCATGAACTGGTGTAGCCACTTCACATCAACAATACTTATCGTCTTCCAGGTTCAATTTTCAGTCAGCTTCACTAGAGCTATGTAATCAATCTTGATGGAAGTTAGGTACATTAGCGACTAAATCTGGTGCTATGTAGATCACAAAGTCTTGCACATTCACGGACAGATTATCCTATTACAATAACAGAGATATCCAGTCAAGAAATAACTTGAAAACTGAAACATATGATTTCAGATACCAAGTTAATTGGAAAAGTTTTTCTCCTATTATAATAATGATATACTTGATAAATTGGGAAAAAAATTTCTCCGAAATGACCACGCCATTCTGACAAATCTATGCTTACCTGTTAGTATTCTCAAATCTTTTGCAGTTCAGGTCATCATGGAACATGTGCAGTATAGAATTGTGAAGTAATTCTTCCATCAAATTGAACACGTTAGCCTCTGATCAACTTAGTGCCTGGTAAAAGTTTCACAAGGAGAAGTTGAGGATCTGTATTAAAAATGGGACAGCAACAAATATAACAAAAATTTTATCCCGTGAATGGTTTGTTTAGGGAATCTCATGATTCAAAAAAAAATTTGTCGGTGTCTATAGAAATGAAATTAAAACCTGACTGGATAATCAACCAAAGCCCTGAAAAAGAGATAAGGCCATATTTAGGAACTGGCAACATCTGTTGCCTACTTCCTTTATAATGGAAAGGATTACTGGTACCGCAGGAACTAGCAATGAAATTGTTAAAAGGAACAGATACCAAATCTTGTCAAGCATAAATAGATGCACAGTCAGGCAAGGAAGAGAAAGATTGGCAACTAGATGAGACACATTCTCCCAAAACAATAGGCAAAAGGAAAAAGAAAGAAAGAGAAAATAATTTAAGCAATGAAAAGTAACAAACTTTTAACATACCAAAGCCATCTTTGGCAGTAATCATCATGTTTTCTAACTTCTGAGCAGCCTCTGTCATGCCTTGTCTATTATAAGCTTGTATCATGCTAGCAAAAGTGATGGTATCAGGCTCACATTTTCTTTCTCTCATTGACAAGAATAACTCGCCCATTTTATTTAAGTCACCAGCCCGACCATAGGCACTAATTATGCAATTGAAGAACGGAGTGTCCAACACTGCATCAGAATTTTCCACTTGCCTCATGATTGAGTCAACTTTTTCCATGCACCCAGCTTTACTGTATGCATTGACCAGAGAGCAATAGGTTATAGAATTAGGCTTCACTCCTAGATGCTTCATTTTCTTAAAGTACCTATCCATCTTGTCAATTTCTCCAGCCTTTCCAAACACCTCAATTATTGTATTATAGGTTACAACTGTTGGAGAGAAAAACCTCTTTTCCATGAAACCCGTGACAGACTTCATCTTATCATAGAGGCCTGCTTTACCATATGACCTTATCATAATATTGAATGTCTTTATGTCTGGTTTAATTCCCATTAGCTGAAATTCCTCATACCACTTCTCCATATTCTCAATTTGGCCACTATTTCCATATGCTCCAACCAAGGAATTCAATGTAAAAACATCCGGTTGGCAGTTGCCAATTTCAATCATATTTGTCAGAGAATACTCCATCTGTTCAAACATACCAACCTTTCCATATCCATCAATAATGGTATTGTATATCACGTTATTATTTTCAATGCCCAGATATGACATTTCAGCAAGAATGTGCTCAATCAAATCAAACCGACGGTGTTTTGTGCAACTATTGAGAAGAATGGAATATGTATATATATCAGGCTTGCAATCAGTGACTGATTTCATATCTTCGACTAAATCAAAAGCCTTGTGAAGGAGACCGCTTTGAGCATAAGCACTTACAAGAGCAGTGTAGACATCAATAGTAGGTTTAAGCCCTTCAGACAACATGACCTCGAATAGCAGGCTTGCTTCCTCCGGTTTTCTGCACTTGCCTAGCATCATCAACAATTTTGTGTATGTCTGGCATCTTGGTTCATACCAAAGTTGCTTACGAAGAAGAGCAAAAATCTGCAAAAGGGAAATCTCTTCAAGATATATCTTAAGGCCTAAGTTATTCCCATCTAAATTTTATGCGCCAGAAGTAGTATTGACATCCGTGCCTCCCACAGTGGCAGCAATTTTAAGTTTCTGACACTTACAGAGTAGTGATCCCAAAGCAATCTTAAGAAGCCAAGCAGTTTACAACACTCTATAACAAACCATAAAAAATATGATAGGGAGCATGAACCATGATAAAAAATACAAATAGGCAATTGAACCAATAAGAATAAGCATGCTCCTTTCTTCTTCATCTTTTTTTGTCTTAAATTTTTCATCATTATTGCACTGAATTGCCAATCGCAAGGAAAAAATAGAATAAACCGATATAGTAGATAACAATATATCGAAAGTCAACAGATGCAATGAATACCACTGTTACTTCAATTATCACATCAAAATCAAAGAAACGAAATGAAGAAGGAAAGAAATGAAAAGACTGGAAAGAAGAATTAACTGAATCGAAGATGAGAAAGAAAGATAGGAATTGGACAGACTAATAAAGCCCATGGCATTGAGATAAAGGTCAACTCTTTCTCACAAATATAAGATTTTTCTGATGAGTAAAATGATCCAAACTGTATCCAATATATATTCAATGACTCGCTACATTTTCGTATCAGAACTCAACTAAAGCCTTTAAAACAGACACACAACATCCTAACAACAGGAACTCTATATCCCAGCGAAGTTCACTGAACTTTTTGGTCTTAGATGTCCCCAACCACACATTCAATAATCATAGTATTCATGAATCACGTTCTGCCCCCATTTCTGATCCAATTAAATGCATCTAACAGTAACAGAAGCAATATAAAGAACCAACAGACTGTGAAGCCAATGGTGTCACCAACAAGTTATAATGAAACGTGAAACAAAAAGAAGCACCACGAACCTTCAGAGCAGCTTCCCAGCGAATTTCTTTGATAGCTTCATCCAAAGCTTCCAGAACGGCCTTGGGCCATAGCTGTTTGTACTTCTTTGCATTAGCCTTATTCTCAATACCCCTAATAGCAGCTTCCGTTCTGAGAATCCGAGACAAGTCCTTCCTGGTGTCCTTCTGGAGCCCAGAGGACTCGGGATTGGAGCATTGTTTCGATGACTGAACATGGAAACGACGTAGCTTTCGAGTGTTGCGAGGTTTCTCATTCAGGACATTCGCGGAATGAGTAGCGGGCAATGAGTTGAAGAAAGATGACCAGCACAAGTGACTGGGCTCCACAAGGCGAAGAAGTTCCATTGCAATTTGCGGGGAGAGGGGAGAACCAAGTTCCCTCCTGAGGAAGACGAAAACGAGCGTAGCATACGGCTTTGAGGGCGAGTACAGAGGATCACAATGGCTTGAATATTTAGCGATAATAAATCGCATTATTTATTCAGCTCCAAAAAAAAAAAAAAATTAAAGAGGCACACCTGGTGGGACTCGAACCCACAATCGTCTGATTAGAAGTCAGACGCCTTATCCATTAGGCCACAGGTGCTTGGTTGAGCCGCGGGCGTCAGGGCACATTTATACGATTGTTCCTCAACAAGAGCGGCGGAAAATAATCATTGGATGTGACAGAGATTAAAAAATTAGTTCTATTATTGACTTAATTGAGTGCTTATATATAAATACATTTTACATATGAGATAAAATTACCCTTACGTACTTAATTCATATTTTATAAATTATAATTGAAAAACTATTTACAAGCGATTTCAAATAAGTTCTTAATTATTTATATTTAAAAGTATTTTTACTGCTCTGTAAAAAAAAAAAAAAGAAGCACCTTGGCTAAAGATAATTTGAGAAGAATAATAAATTTGGGAAAAAATTTTGAAAAGTGAGATTGCTAATAGTTTGATACTCATGTTTCTTGATTTGCAGCTTCATATTTATTAATTTGCAAGTGAGATTTGATCATTTTACCCCAAAAAAAACATGTTCGTAAATTCAAAAGAGTCAAATCGGTAAAGGATCTTTAGTTATTTAAAATTTCAAAACTTTCTTGATCCATCAATATGATTAATTTAATCTTTTAACCCTTAACCATCATTCCCCTGAAAAGAGTTTAAGGAGGCACTTGGCAAATCAACTAGAAGTATTTTTTGACTTCAAACCATGGTTTGACCGAAAAAATTGCTAAATATCCTATATTTCCATGAAACCTCAAACATACCATATTTTCATGAAATCATGGTTTGGCTCCAACAGCATGATTTGCCCCGCCAAAACCATGGTTTCATAAAAAGCATTAAAAAAAAAAAATCTGCTTCTCTTTAGTTTGGCCAATGTGTCTGTCAGATCAACTTGTTTGTTATACAAAAAGGCTAAGACTAATAGTTATGTTTTTTTATTTTTTTCCTACATTGCTAAAAAAAATTATGGGATTTCATGTTTTAATTCTTTAAGGTAAAGTATAAGTTTAAACTTTGAGAAAGAGTGTAATTTGTTTTATAAGCTTCAATTTGAGTTTGTCTTGACATTTAAAGTAGTTTTTTTAATTTTACCCTTAATTATTTATTCTCTTTCTTTTGTCATACTCTTATCACATTTTCTCACATATTTTTTATCCTTTTTTATATTTATTATAAGGGCATATTTGAAAACGAAATTATATTTCTAATCTATTTATTAATTTTAAATAATTATTTATTATCTGTAAATTAGTTATTTGAAACATATATAGGACTGGAAGGAGTAATATTTTTCTGTTGGCAAAAAAAAATCATTTCTCTAAAAACATATTTAATCTTATCTTTTATAAATATATATGTACACACATTAATTATATTTTTTAAATATATTATTTATTATGTTGACAAAAAACATATTATTAACAAATTTATTGCTTCAAATAAAATATAAATAATATAAACTTGTGTCTTTTTTAATAATTTACACATAAAAAAATACTTCTAATAACAACTATCAACTCTCACTTTATCAAAATTATTTTTTTTTTTACAAAATTTACTTTTTTCAAAATCTATTCTCAAAATAATTTTTTTTTTCATAAACTATTTTCCAAACTATACTTTTGGTTTTATCCAAACACCCACAAATGCTATTATACATCTCTCTCCAATGGGATTGCCAATTTGGGGGGGAAAATTGTGTAACGCTAGACCTCTAATTAGTGATTACAACAACGTCACTTCAGTTAAATTTCAAAAGTAGTATTTTGCTTCTTGGAACAATCATAAATAGGGTAAATAACACCAAATACGACATAGATTCTTAATTAACAATTTCATTTTACGCGTAGTTCAAGAACAAAGTGTTATATTTTAGGGAAAATCCCAAAAAAGGTCCTTGGAATATGGGAAATATCAGATTGAGTTCTTAAATTTCGAAAATGACAGAATGGGTCATTGACCCAATCTGTCATTTGTGAAATTCATGCGAATTGACAATTTTGCCCTCATTTATTCATTCACTACAATGATTCAAGGAATCACTATAAGAGTTTAGGTGTTACCTAGATTCGTATAGCGAATAACTATTCACTTTTTCATAGTCAGGTGTCTTGTTATTAACTACAACTAATGCTGTAATCACTAGAACAATATAAGCATTACCTAGATTTATATAGAGAATAACTACTCATTTTTTCATACTCAGGCATCTTATTATTGTCAGATACCTTATTATTAACTACAACGAATCTTGTAATCACTAGAACAATGTAAGCGTTACCTAGATTTGTTTAGAGAATAACTACTCACTTTTGCTCGGGGGCAAAAATGTCAATTCGCCTGAATTTCACAAATGACAAATTGGGTCAATGACCCATTCTGTCATTTTCGAAATTTAAGGGCCCAATCTGGGATTTGGTATATTCCAAGGACTTTTTCTGGGATTTTCCCTATATTTTAAGGTTTATGTATTCATTTTGTTCTGGCAGAAAAATTTATTCATATTATCGTTAGAGTATAATATAAAATGTAGGTTTCCTTAAATCTATTGCTTAAAATGGTGATCCAGTGCGCCAAAAAAAAGGAAGAGAAATTGTGACTAAACTCGCTAAAGTACTTTACGAGGCAAATTAAAATTTTATCTAAATAACTAACACTCGTAATAGATGGATGAAAATGAAATGGCCAAAGAAAAATTCATTCACCATATGGGATTGTATTGTAGGCTTTAGCAAATGAAGGAGACTACCACCATATGCTCAAGCAAAACTACACACACACACACACAAGGCAATTCAAAACTACAGCCAAACTCACATTGGCCAACGTCCAATAAGAAGGCAACCTAAAATACAATTATACCACCCAAAGCTCCTGAATTTTGCGGCGCTGTGAACACTAATCCTTATTAGTGGTCTGAATCCGCAGGCTTCCTTGCCAAAAAGAAATACATTGGCGTGAAGATCTCCTTCCTGAAACAGTCAGTCATAAAGGAAAAAGAAATATTATATGCCTGTTTACGCTATCTTACACATGTAATTCAGTAGAATTTACGTCGGGAATTCGTGCTTGTTTGAAAATGAAAAACGGATGGAAGGAGAACTTACTTTCCACCTTCAACTAGTCCCTCTGCAGCCTTTTCTAAAAAGTCTTGAACCCTGACACTTCCCTTGGGTGCCAGCCCAACATACTCAAGAGTCTTAACCTACAATTTAGAACGAATCAACAAATATTAATAGAGTTCATAATGTTGACGATCACAGTAAGATAATCAGTCGAAAGCTTAAGCTTTTGGATTGAAACAGTCATCTGATATGGAACCATAGCTTCTATGATTGACTTGAATGGTCTAGTGTTCGATCCTTGTTGCCTCATGCGAGGAATTTGATCAAGATTATTATAATAATTCATACCCTTCATCTATAATTTTTTTTAGTTGAAATAGTACTTGAAATACAAAGAATTGCCATGATATTCAGTAGCATTACCATGTTTCTTGTGAATAGTCGACCAACAGCTGTTAGACGGAAACTGCTCAGCGAGAAGTGATCTTTATCCAAAGGCAAATACCAAGGAATAGGAGAGTCCTCAGCCAAATCTTTGTCCCATATGACCTTGGTAAACAAAATAAATGGATCTCCTCTTAGTCCACTGGGTTGTTCGTCTCTAAAAGCTCAACTAACAAAACTAGTGAAAGGTAAGAGTTGAAATTAACCTCAAAACCTGCTTCCTTCAGAGCTTCAAGACACTTTGTAGTCAATCTGATGTCAGGGAGCCCATCGCCAAGCTCAATTTCTGCCTGTAGAAATTAACGTAATTTATAGAATTACAACTCATCATGAGGCTTTAAGATGAGAAATTCTATCTGGTCCATAAAAGATAGATAGACCAAACAAAATTCCTAAAGACACAGAAGCATGTCAGAAGCGGATCTCATTTAAAAAAATAAAAAAAAAAGAACATGTGTCTGACATGCTTATGTGTACCACACGACTTGCTTGATCTACCTATCAGTCCACTGTATCCACAGAATATTTTTTGGCTTGAAAAAATGAGCAGATATGCCTCTATATTATACCTTTATCCTTTGATGCTCTTGGTTACTAGGATCAAAGGAACTAGTCATGCACCATTCATATGCAGCAAAACATTGACCAGGCTTCAGCACTCTATAAATCTCCTTATAGCATCCATACTAAAAAATCAAAAATAAGGGTTAGATCAATACCCAAAAAAAAAAATATAATTCTAAGCTAATAATGTGCTTCATGCCTATGCATTATCACGTCAAAAGTGGGCCTTACAGCATGAGCATCTGCAAGCGCTTCCAGAAACAATTCAAGGTGTGGGTTGGGTCTAGTAAGAGAGTTTGAGACATGCCAACAAAGGCACACATCTTTTTTAAAGCATCATTATTCCGTAGGCTAATAAGTAGTGCTAGGAGAAAATAGGTATAAACACTCTGTTCCTTCTAATTACACACAGAGACAGAGTATAAAAAAGGCATACCGCATCTGGTGCATGGCAAGTAGCTTCAATTGCATATACTGCATCAAAAGAATTGTCTGGGAATGTCATTTTCATAAAGTCAGCCTGCATTGGCAAATTATTTTACGATCATGTCAGCCACGAACCTACAGTGTATAAATTAATCATTAAAATATGCATGAATAACAGGAGTAGTAGAAGTACCACATTTGAAATAGGGAAAGCCTGTCACTATTATAACAAGAATAATCAAGGTAAAACAATAGCATGCAGAAATGAGTCCAGACGTGCTCAAAAATAGACGGACAACACTTTAAAAAAAAGTATAAGAAAAAATTGATTCAAAATGTTAACCTTCACAAAGTTGCAAGTCTTGTCCAAACCGGATATGCGATTGAGTTCCTGTAAGCCAAAAATGCTTTCAAGTGGTCAAACGGCAGATTTCAAAAATACATTACGGAGCAAAGGTAAGAAACTAAGATTTCTTACTAATTCAGAGTTTCAAGGCAAATGAATACTTATTACCTAATGCTCAAACAGTATATTAATGGTACGAGAAAATCGAAGAAATAGGATGAAACACTCTTTAAGAAAACTAGATTTAACAATGAAATAAAAATGTCAAATTTGTTGTGTCAACTAATTATATTTTCGTGTTGTCCAGTGGGAATCAAACACATACCTTTCCTCTAGTTATTTGGTACTCATTGTTGTTCAACCCTGTAATTGATGTCAAGCTGCACAGATACCATTAAATTTACGACTTAACGACTTTCTCCTTTGAGGGAAAAGTTTCCATGCAAACATTCTATGCAAGAGGAAAACTTAGATCCATGAGGCAGAACAGGATAGATTCATGCACTTCAAGCACCACACATTCCCAGATCATATAAACTCTCAATAACATAAGAAATTCCAGGGACGGTATGAAAACTTTTGATCTTTTAATTTTGATCGAAGATGATATTCTTTTCCCATATAAGTATACAACTTAGGCAATATAAGTTCATTGAATAGGATTCCCTTGGAACTCAAGAAGGAAGCTGAACTGAGGGGAACCACAAAATTAAACTCGCTTTATGAAAATTGAATACACATACACACACTAACTATAAGATGATTATCAAAGCAGGAGAAAGTGTGCGGAGTACAATAATTGTATTTATTAGCCAGCCAAAGAAGACTCAGTCAACCAACAAATTGGTAAAACAAACCAACCATCAACAGCTACCTCTAATATGCTTACACATTCATCAATGACTAATTTGGTTTTACCAATTTTTTGTAAAGCAGTTTCAAGTCCTATTCACCTGAAACGAGAAATTTCTCTTAGTGGTCCCCCAATTCCACAACCAACATCTAAAACCTAAAATCAAACAAAAAGGCTCGTGAATTTCTCAAACGAACAGTAAAAAGTGTAATTAATTTGCTCTGTTAAAGATGAAAAACCTTTTGTCCAGGCTTCAGACCAAGTTGCAAGGCAAGAAAGTGCTCATGTCGCTTGATGCTCTCCCGAAGTGATTCCCCTTTCAATCTTAAATTAGAAGAAAATTTATATCATGCGCGAACAGAAGACAGGATAGTAAATTCTTCTATTTGTAAGTGTAGAAATGAAGCAAATGGACACCTTGGAGCAAAATGGAAAGATTCTCCCCAACCGAATTCATAAAAGCTGGTGACAAGATCATAGTATTTATTGACCTGAAAATGGAGATGTAGTTATGTTGTTTCTGCATATAATCAATTAGCCCGCAGTCAAAATAAATAATCCAACTTCACATATCACAACTTATCAACTGGCGTCGTATGAGTAATGAAAGTGGATAGGTGAAAACAGAACCTGTCATAATGCATTAGTGAGGGAAAATTTTAACTAATATTAGTATGAACTTGTTGGGTTTTTCATCACAAGCTCCATTTCCTAAGACTCACTTGTTCGCTATTTAATTTAACCGCCTAAATGTCCAAAATTGTAGTACGGGCGTTGTTTCAATGTCCCCCGCCACACTCTCCCCTCAACAAAAACATATATCTTCTGAACGAATTGCAAGAATATGACATGATAATTTTCTTCAATAAATTTTCCACGATTGGAAATATTTAAGGAGTTCATCAGATAAGCAGCTTCCCTCCATGAAATGTGACTGAGCACTAGCAGTGTGTAATTTCATATACATCAAGCTCAACCAATCTTGACATAAAAAACTTTGCTAAACATGAGTATCTCTCACCATATCAGTATAGTTAGACTTCCTCTCTTCCTCTTCACCTCCATAACAGACATGATACTTCTCATACCTGAATCATAAGATCAAACACTTTATCATGGAATGTGAACAACATCAATAACCAAAAATGCCAAATCTAATGTATTGTCAGATAACGTCAGTTTGATCATTTCCTTGACATGGCATTAGTTTTGCATACATGAACATTAAGAAACATAATAACTTGCGCACGTATAGATAACTAACTAGATTTGGGTGTAATCTATCATTTTTCACATTTCGATATAGTAGGAGATTGAGACCCAATAAGACTTATTTTGCTTATCATGTCCTTCCATAAAATTTTGACATGTGGAGAAGCTCTTTTGAATTACTCAAGGATGCAGTGTTGAATGGGAAAAAGTGAAGGTGTGTTATGTTATTACTTATTATTGAAGAATCTCACAGCCAATACCAATCTCATAGCAACACAAAAAGGTCAAAACTCAAAGTACATTCAAATTCAAAGAGAGGGAAAAAGAACAAATCATTTGTTTGATGTAAGCCTAAGCACAGGCAACTGAGAATTGACATCTGAACGACTAAGTACAAGTTTGCAACTCATAAAAAGCTCAAGTTGTTGTAACTAAACGCTGATCAGTATGTTATCAATCCTTTGACATCGGATTCAGCTCCAGAGCATCTTCGACTATCATTAAAATCAATAATCAGCATTGCCTTTGGTGTAACTCTTTTTTTCCTTTTTATCTTTTTAAACATCACAATACTAAATCATAACATAGAGCTCAAAGCAGAATCCGAGAGGTAAAGAAAACAGAGATTCATACTTCTCAACAGCAGAGAGAACTTCGGCTTTCTCAATCTTTCCACCCACGCCCAATGCGAGATCTATGGCTCCAGCTTTTGACATCTCTGGCAGAGTTCAGCAGAAACTTGAAAAGATCAAGCAAGAAGCATCAGAATCATCGATGATTTAAATTGGAAAGCATAAAATAGTTTACGAAAAGAATGCAGGCTTTATCTCACGTCAAAAGAACAATGTGAATCAGGAGCTGAAAAGCTAGGGAGAGAGAGAATGAGAGAAGAAAAACTCGGAGAGAAGGGTAGAGAGAGTGTGTGGGAAAGCCGCTGAGTTGAAAAAGAAGGCGGAATGCTGGGGGGAGAGAGAGAGACTGTAGTGTGTGTGTGTGTGTGTTGTAAAGGCATTAGCTGTCATGTGCGCTTTGTGATTGGGAGAACTTTGAAGACTGAAGAGCCAGAAGGGGAGTGTAAAGCCTCTCACTGCGGTGACCGGCTGCGTCGTTTTGGCATTTTGGGCGTCGATTCTGAGTACTCACTTCCCTGTAGCTTCCTTCCAAAGTTGGACTCCAAGCTTGTAAACAGTAACGGCAAGGACTAGCCGTTTAAAGTTTAATTAGTTAAAAATATTATTTTTATTTTGAGGCAAAAAAAAATTATTTTTATTTTATATTATTTAATATTAAAATTAAAAAAATCAAACTTTTATGAATTGTTTTTTCAAATTTGCAATTGATTTTTTTAAATAATGTGAAAAAATAACTGAATTGGATAACTATATTTTTATTCGTAAATATCATGTTATTGTAAAAAAATTAATGGTATATAAAAATATAAAAGATTGCATGTAAAATTTAATGATATACTCCTCCGGTCCTAAATGTAAGACCCTTATATGTGTGTGTATAAGGGTCTTACATTTAGGACCGGAGGAGTATTATCTTGCATGCTTTCACAAACTCATTGACGTTAAACCAATTTCAGCAAATAGACACAAATAAATCTCAAATTAGCCTGCCAAGTTTGTCAAGAAGCGACTTAGCAATAGAAAATAATCAGGACCACGTGAGATCAGAACCATATTCATTTTTTGTCGAATATATATTAAATCGTGAAAGTAAACAAATATTCCGACGGCTTATTAATAACATTAATTAATAATTAATAAAAATGTGCGCAAAAACAATTATTGTCCAAATAGAAATGGCAAATACTCATTAATTAAGGCAGGCTCATAGCCTCATACTCATATATCATATGGTGTCCAACTGGTTATCCTTTTGCATGTTGGCCTTACTTTATTATCTTTTACTCTTTGCCCCTATAGTATCTATTTGGTTTTATGCTGCTTTTGAGAAGAGACTTTTTAAACCGGTTAATCCAATAAGTGGTGTAGAAAGATAAATTTTTGGATAAATTCAATAAGTTGAATTTATGTCATACAATTTTTTTTTGTGCTAATCACAAATATCAAAATAATACTGTTTGAGATATTATTTGATACTAAATATCATATAATTAAGCAAATGAAGATGGAAGACTAGAAAAATAATCAATCCAAAACCCATCAACAATTAGCCCAAACAATCCATTAAAGATCCTACGGCTATTAGAAGGCAATAATTCTAAACTACAATTCCACCTTCCTCAAATGTGTGTGTGTGTTTTTTTTTTAATTAGAAGAGAGGCATTAAAGACTGAGATTACAAGTAAGATCAAACCCGTGACCTTCCACTTGTATAAAAGGTTTTTGGCCCCACAAATGCCTTTTAGTGATCATCTGAATCAGCAGACTTTCTTGCCAAAAACAAAAACATTGGCGTAAAGGTCTCTTTCCTGAAATAATCAGTCATATATATAATTAATTTCCTCAGGGTTTTTAATTAAAGGTACATTCTACTGTCAAATTATCAGAAAATACATGACTAGTAGGAAAGATAAAGTTGGGTAATGCATATACAATTTTTTTCAATTTTCTAAGAGGGTTTTTAATTTGCTCGAGAAGTAAACTTATGCTTCTGCATATATCTAAAATTAAAAATAGATGAAAGGAATAAGACTTGCTTTCCACCTTGAACTAGTCCATTTGTAACCCTCTCTATAAAATCTTGAACCTTGTCACTTCCTTTGCTAGCCAGTCCAACAAGCTCAAGAGCCTTAACCTACAATTTGAGACCGGTCAACGATACAGATAAACTAAAAATTTGAATTTTCAGTTGAAACTATATATATTACTTGAAATATAAATAAAAATAGCCTTGGTATTCAGTAGCCTTACCATGTTTCTTTTGAAAAGTCCAACAATATTTCTACTCAGAGAGTAATTACTTTTGTCCATAGGAAAATACCAAGGAATAGGAGAGTCCCCTGCTGCATTTTTGCTCCATATGACCTTTGCATGTAAGATAAATAAATAAATAAAAAGTTACTTCGGTTGTTTATCTCTAAAAGCTCAAATAACGAAATCAATAATAAAAGGTTTAACCAATGAAGGTTAGTCTAATTGATAAGATTATAATCCACAACCCATAAATATGTGATCTCTCATTATTAATACGAGGATCTTGCTGAGGAGAAATATTTAAATATCTTTACAAGTGTTGTTTAAATTTAGAGAAATGTCGTAGTTTTGATGAATCCTATGGTTCAAGTCAATTAAACTTTTAATTACCAATTAAAAAAAACTAGTGAAAGATTAAGAGATTGAAACCTCAAAACCTGCTTGCTTCAAAGCTTCAAGAACCTTTGTTGTCGATCTGATGTCAACTAGGCCACCACCAAGCAAAAGTTCATCCTGTATCAATCAACGTGATGTATAGAATTACAACTCGAGGTGAGGCTTTCAAGAGGAGACATTTTTAGAGAAATTTTTATTGGGTGTTTGATTTAGACTATTTTAAGTGATTTTGTGCTATACAAGCTAAATAGTTTTATCTTGTAAGGTATAAAACTGACTTTTTTGAGGGGACGTCAAAGATTTATAAATAAAGATCCAGTTTGGTACAAAATATTAAAAATGGAATATAGGAATTGGAATTATGATTGAAAAAATTTATTAGAAAAAAAATTTAGTATAAGAGATTGTTTGTTATATGGAATTGAACAAACCCATGTATGTGGAATGGTATTCCCTAATCCCACGTCTATGGATTTGTCTAATCCTAAGTAACAAGTAAATACTCACACTAAATACTCTTTTAATGATTTTTCTCAATTTCAATTTCAATCTCTATTTCTCATTTTTAATATTTTGTATCAAACTGGATCAAAAATATAAGTAGATAGGCCAAATAAAAATGGTAGTATGATAATGTCAATTTAAATTGTTTCAATGCCTTTATATTGGTATATATATAACTTTATCTTTTGATGCTCTGGGTTAGTAGGATCAAAGGAAGTAGTCATGCTGGATTCGTATGCAGCAAAACATTGACCAGGCTTCAACACTCTATGAATCTCTTTATAGTATTCATGGTCATGAACAAATCAGAAATAAGTGTTAGACCAAGGAGGAAAAAAACTATAGAGTTGGTCCTTACAGTATGAGCATCTGTAAGCGCTTAGTAAAAAAAAAAACCATAGACATTGACATAAATGAAACTGCATCACAAAAATCTAAAAATGTCCAGACCTATTTATAAGAAACAAATGATGATTGTGATTTCTTATAAAAAGACTCGAAAGAAACATGAAGGTGAGTCTCGACATAGTATGCCTCTGTCCTTCTTTAGACCCTATTTGATGGGAGCCTTGTGCATTCAGCTACCCTTATTAAAGGCTTTTGAAGGTAATCCCGCGGGGTTAGGTCAGCTGGCTGGGGCTATCCTAGCTTAACCACGGATCTCGGGTTCGAGACGTGGGAATGCAGCACTCCAAGGGGCCAGGGGGTGCCGTCTGAAAGGATCCTTGCAAGCCCCCGAATCCGGATTAGTCTGGGGTCGTTGTCACGGTTGAAAGATGGCTATTATCCTGGGATACCGGATGAAAGGATCCTTGCAAGCCCCCGAATCCGGATTAGTCTGGGGTCGTTGTCACGGCTGAAAGATGCCTATTATCCTGAGATACTGAATGAAAAGATCCTTGCAAGCCCCCGAATCCGGATTAGTCTCGGGTCGTTGTCACGGCTGAAAAATGCCTATTATCCTGGGATACCGGATGGAGTAATCCAAAAAAAAAAAAAAAGGCTTTTGAAGGTACCATGACAAGGGAGAAAAAGTTCTGGACACTCTTGTTCCCTTACTAGTCACAGAATAGAGAGAGAGAGAGAGAGTAAAAAGGTCACGTACAGCATCTGGTGCATGAACTGTAGCTTCAATTGCATAGACAGCATCAGAAGTATTGTCAGGAAATGGTATGTTCATGAAGTCACCCTCCACAAAAAAATTAATAATCAGAGCAGTGAAAGTCTATCATGAATGATCAGAGCAGAACAATATCATGCAGAATCAGAATCGAGCCCATTTGTTCTGAAAAAAGTAGACAGACAACACTTGAAAAACCGAAGAAGCAAAACACATTAACCTGCACAAAGTTGCAAATCTTGTCCGTGCCGTGTAAGCGATTAAGTTCCTGTAAGCCAAAAAAGCAAAATGGTTTTAAATGGACAAAACCTGCTTGATTACTTCAAAAACTTCGTTGCAGATAAATATGCTCAAACCAGTGTATCAATGATTAGGGAAGGAAACAGTATGAAACACTCTGCAAGAGAACCAGATTAATTTAATGATCAACTAAAAATGCCGAAGTTGTTGTGTCAATCAAATTACCATAAGACACATACCTTTGCTCTGCTTATTTGGTACTCATTACTGTTCAACCCTGTTACTGATGTCTTGCTGCAAACACACCAATACATATATTTATAAAATCTTTTAGGAGATTGATCCGGGATTTCAAAACTTTTTTTATGGGAAATTTTCCTGGCTAAAAATTTCAAGTCTGGCTGTGTTCACCTGAAACGAGAGATTTCTATTGCTGGTCCCCCAATTCCACATCCAACATCTAAAACCTAAAATCGAACCAAACAAGGAAAAAAAGACTCATGAATTTTAATTTCTTAAACAAAAACATTACTACCTCGAGTGCTTAATATAAGAGTTAGTTTAACTTTTAATTTGGTCTCAAATATAATGTCCCAATTCACTTTGTCTCTCATGTTTATTCCTTTTTTTAAAATAATCCTTATAATAATTACACACGTTAAATATTTCATCAAATGGTAGTTCTAACTAATACGCATTATTATTAAGGGTATTCTAGAAAAGATAACACGTAGTATTTATTATAAACTAACTCAACAAAATTTTTTTAATCTACTCAAATTAGTCAAATAGCTCTTATAAGCATTAAGGACCGAATATAATAAGCAGTGTTATTAATTTGCTGTGTTAGGTTGAAGATGATACGAGAAACCTTTTGTCCAGGCTTGAAGCCAAGCTGGAGAGCAATGAAGTGCTCATGTCGCTTTATGCTCTCTCTAAATGTTTCCCCTTTCCATCTAAAGTCATTACAACCAAATTGGTCGATAAAGCATAAGACTCATCAAAAAGTAGCAAAAATTGTTGTACTATATTTTTTCCAAGTGTAGAAATCAATTAATTAATTAAATGAGGGAATTAATTAGTGGATAGTATGTACCTTGATGCAAAATGTAAGGATTCTCCCCAGCGAGATTCATAACTGCGAGTGACCACATCATAGTATGTATTTGACTGAAAATGGATATGTCATTATGTGTGTGCGTGTGTTGTTTTCACATTTAACCATTCGTTCAAAAATGCGATTTACATATAGGGAAAATGATATATCATCGAAAAGAATCCCTAGGATATTACACCATAATTATTTTTTCTGAAGAAACAAATATGCAAGTTTTTATAATTTTATTTTAATTAGATTTCAGTAGTTTTTTAATCATGTCTTTATAGTTTTACCTAATTTTAATTAGATCTTTATGCTTTTTCTTTTCTTTTCTGTGAATCACCTCAAAGTTTGTAGACCTGAGTAAAAGTTAGATAAAATTATAAGAATTTGAGAAAAAGAAAAGCAAACTACAATGGTAAATTATGATGACCTAATAAAAAGAAGGAAAAAAAAATAAAAATCTGATTAAAAATCAAGTAAAGCTATAAGGATTTGTAGATTGATTTTTCTAATTTTTTTTTTTAATTAAGAATATTCTCCTATTGGTACTATTTCAGTTGATGATCAAAAAAGCAACTTCCCTTCATGAAATGTAACTGACTTTTAAATGGTTTTGCTTCACATGAAATAAATATATAAGAAGAATTTTGCGTATAAGATTTTTTTTCTTTTTCCAAAAAGTGATTATGTAATTTCAAGAACATCAAGCTCATCCAAATATTAAACACAAATAAGTTGGAACTATATATAGGTTCATTGCTAGAAAAACAAGAACTTTGATTACTTAGCCTGAGTGTCTCTCGCCTTATCATAGTAGTTAGACTTCCTCTCTTCTTCTTCTTCTTCTTTGCCTTCAGAACTGCAACCATGCTTCTGATACCTAAATCAAACATCTTATCATCCAATAGTGTGAACAACATCAACAACCAAAAATACCAAATCATTCTGCGCTTATCACTATGTTATAAGTCATTAATTTGTTTGATGTTAGCCAAAAGGACCATCTGAATGACTCAGTAGTCCAAGTTTGAAGTTATTTGCAAGTAAAAACTTATTCGTATGTTATAAAAATATCCACCAGATTCAGCACCAGATAAGCTTCATCACTTATCATTCAAATCAACATAATACATATCCATTCATGAAACTTTTTTTTTTTCCTGTTTAAACATTAAGAAAGCTGAAAGTAGAATCCAGAGGTAAAGAAAAAACAGAGATTTATACTCCTCAACAGTAGACACAACTTCATCAGCTTTGGACATTTCTGACTAGAGTTCAGCTGAAACTTGCAAAGACCAAACAAGAAGCATCAAAATCATCGATTATATGTAAATAAATTGAAGAGGATAAGATAGTTTACGAGGAGTATGCATGGTTTATCTTACATGGAAAGAACAATGTGTGGATCTGGTGGTGGAAAGGTAGAGAGAGAATGAGAGTAGAACAAAAGAGAAGAACAGAAAGAAGAGCATAAAAGAGGGAAAGAGAAAGCAGCTTAGTGGTCTTTTTGTTGCTTGGTGGTATGAAAATTAAATTTCTTCTCAGTAATCTTAGGGGTTTAATCCCGCTTATAACTTTAATCGGTTAATATTCTTTAATTAAATAAAAAAAAAAGAAAGGCAGAAGGGATCAGAGAAGATGGAGTAGTTGTATCAATTATATTATCATTAATCATCGATTGATTTATATGATCAAAATCTCGTATCAGCGAATTGGTTGGTCTAATGCGTCTTTTTTTTTTTGAAAAAAAGAATAATATATTAACAAATAAACAAAATGTTAAAAAAAATATTGTATAGGATTCCTGAATTATGCCAGGGAAGGGTGGGAAACAACTTAAAAAGATTAAAGCAATGGATTCGGAATCTGTCAAGAAGTGATCTGCCTGGAAATAAATTTTCTTTTTATAACAAAACTATAAATATAAGATATTTCCCAATTAATTTACACGCATTCATTAAAACTAATTAAAAATTTGAAAGTTGCCATAAAATTTAAATAATGTTTAATATTATCTTTATTAATTATATTAATTCTCATGTCACATTAATTTTCATTTTCTTTCCCCACTCTTATTGTAACATCCTATTTTAGAAACTTCCATTATACACGTTTCTTTTTCTTCTAGTTGTTGAATTCTGTTTTTGTGATTTCAAGTTGATAAAACTTGATCCTGTTTTAATATAATATTACCTCCGATTCTATTCCGATTTTATTTATAAGACCTTATTTGTAGACTTTAAATAAAATCTTATAATCAAGACCGGAAATAGTATTTGAAAAATGAGATTCATATGAATCACAATAACAAAGAGAAGTTATAATAAATTATACAGACAATCATTTATAGTAACCATGTTGAAATGTGTATTCCACACAGGAATACTCATAATAATCATAACTGCGTTTAAAGTTTAAACCATGACACCTATAATTTATTAAGGAAAAATCTGGAAATACAAAATGGTAAATTTTTTAGCCTCCTTCGGCTCTCTTCCTTCTCATCTCCTTCTTGTACAATCAATCGCCACACCCCCTCATGCGACAAATAATATTGATTTTGTTATGAAATTAACCAACAATGAAAGTAGATTGGAAAAGAGAAGTAGACAAGAAAATAAGAGAATGATATTGTATTCCTTCATTTGCTTCACTTGCATCACAATACAATAGCATGCCTTATTTATAGGCATAGTTTTACACATAAGTTACATTTGTACTTAAATAATAGATAGTGGATAATAAACCACATGAATATGAGTGGGGGGAGTTACAAGATTAAAGGCATAGTGGAAAGGTAATGGAGTAGTGAAAGATTAATGCCTAGTGGGAGTTGATGAAGTTGAAGAGGAAAAGGAAGAGATGGACATCCACATTTGATCATATTCATAACACTCCCCCTTGGATGTCTATTATATAAGGATGTGCCTCATTAAAAAACTTCAACTAGGAAAAACCCTGTGGGATAAAAACCTAGTAGAAGAAAAAGAGTACACATTCACTAATACACTATTTGATGCTGCCTCATTAAAAACCTTGCTAGGAAAACCCAGTGGGAAAAAACCATAGACAAGGGAAAAAGAGTACAGCGTGTATTAACTCCCCCTCTTGATAACATCAATTGATATCGTTGAGTCTATGACATCTGATATCATGAACAAACTTTTTAAATATTGTAATAGGAAGTGACTTGGTGAACAAATCTGCAAGATTTTTATTTGAATGAATTTGCTGGATATATATTTTACCATCTTTTGGATATTGTGAGATAAATACTCCATTTGGAATTACCAGCATGTGAATCAGAAAAGAATCTAAAATTCTATTCCAATGTCTTTGGTGAAGAACTATATCTTACCAGTAAGTTAACAGCAAATGATATGTGATGTCATGCATGACTGATAAGATATGATATGGTACTTCTGGACCTATAATTTGGTACTTCCAGACCAAGTAGTTCTTCATCACCTTCTCAAAATATATAAGGTTCTTTATTCACCTCCACAAATCTCACGACCATCAAAGTATATAATGGATGTGATTTATCCATATAAAAACACTTTAAGGCCTTTCTTGTATCAATTATTTGATACACAAAAATCTTCATTTCTCAAGTATTCAATTTGCAATTTGAGGCAAAACTTTGTTCTTTCCAAGGCCTTCATTTCAAATTCTTTCTTTAAGCAATCCATAGCTTTTGTAAGCTCTCCAGGAGTTCCAATAATATTTATATCATCAGTATAAACAATTATAAAAAACTCACTTTCAGATCTTTTCACAAAAATGTATGGGCAAATTGGATCATTTTGATATCATTTCTTCAACCGATATTTACTTAGTCAGTTATATCACATACTGATTGCTTGTGGCAACTTATTTAACTTAATCATTGTTCTCAAGAACTTAAATTGTATGCTTCTGGTAAGTGAAATTCTTTAGGGAATTTCATATATTTTGATTCAAAACTATAAAATGGATCATACATACTGAAATTATTTTAATCTTCATAATATTTTATATACTGAAAAATTTTCTTATATATGCTCCTGGCATATTTTTGAATCCTTCAAGGATTATCATGTAAATTTTACTATTTAATGATCCTCATCTATGGGTCATCTAGCAGGCATACTTCATAATGCTGGACTATTCAAATATGTAAAATTATATCCACCACAAAGTAATATGTCTCATCATAATCATTTGTGAAAATCTATATTTTCACATAAATGTCTATATATTCTATAGAAACTTTATATGTGTTGGGACTACAGGCCCATTTTCACATATCGAAATAACATTTTCATCACATCTTTTCCCTTTTTCTTTTCTTCTTGGCCAAATTTATATCTACTTTGTATGATAGATCTATACGTCAGATCCTCTTTTTATCATGTGATATTCTTATGAAAATCATTGTCGACAACTTTACCTTTTCGGTTCCATTTTTTCTTTTGTGACATAACTTGTTGAAATCTCTTTCTTCCTTTTCAGGTACCTGAACCTCTTCTAGGGTTTTACAATCAGTTATGTCTTAACTCTTCTAGAGTACATGCCTCCTCAATACAACTTCTAAGTTGTATGCTCTTCTTTATTCAAGATATATATATTGGAACCGATTAACCTCTCATGCTTCTGGCATGTCTTAATATTCAAAATAATTGGAGCATTTTCAGCTGGAATAAGAGATTTAAAAAATTTTATTCAGGTCAGTAAAATACTTTGTAGCATTTCATGAATGCAATTTTGATGAACTTCTGGTCCATACTGATATATTTGAGGATCTATATTTGATAGTAATAATGCATTCCATGCTTTCTTTTTTCCAGTTATTCAATTTCTCCCCCTTATGTTAGGAAAACTTCATCGAATAACAATCGACTAATTATGCAGTATAAATCTCCTAAATCCATTTGCTTCTTTTAGGAACATTGTTTTGTTCCATTTAGAGACAAACAAGAAGAAGGAGGTTCTTACCCAACATATGTCCCAACTTTCTTTTAATATCCATCTATGTGCATTGTGGTGGATTGGTAGGAATAAATATTGCACATCTCAATTTTTTTTTTAGGAGAATTTTGTTGCCTTGATGTCTATAAGTGCTGCACTCTATTAAATCAAATATGCCAACACTAAAATGAAAAAATTTGTTCTCATAAATATTGATCAAGCTATTCACGGAGGCATTAACAAATGATTTTGCTAGATCAATTTGTTAAGCAGGCTTTTCAACATTAAAAGCCTGATATATAAATTCACTAACATCTTTAAAATCAAGTTTTGGGAATCACATAGTCTGGAAATATTTATCTAAATAATCTTGCAAACTTCAAGTTGCAAATTAATTTCAATCACATATCTTACCATTTTATATAGATGCATCTATCAAATATTGAATACTTGTATGGCTTATGTGCTTCTAAATGGGCCCATATATATTTCCAGAAATGTAGTGATTCATTCAAAAACAAAACATAACTAGTGATATTTTATAATCAATTTTCTTTGAGAACAAGCAGCACATACGAATTCTTAAAAATGTTGGCTATTCGGAAGAATCTTCTGGTTCTTCAATGGATATCAATACATAATCTTCAATAATTATATAGTTTAAAATGATCAAACAAGTCATGTCAACAATAAATCTAATTGTATCAGTAAACTTCTGGTTTACTGTATCATGTTTCATTACCAACAATAAATTTTTTGATATAATATATGATTGATGATATCTATTTATGAAAAATATATCCAATATCAACTCATACTTGTATTCCAACAGTCTCCTCTTAAGATTGAGTTATTCAAACATGATTCTTTTATTCATATATTTCACAAACAGTTATGAGCATATGATGGGTCAAGGTCAATAACCTATCTCTTGCTTGGAAGTCCAAGTACTTCATAATTCATATATACTTTGTTTACTCATAAAAAAACAGCATTAGTTCTTTTAGAACTATATTAATACTATTGTATCTAGTTCTTTAGGAACTATATAATTTAAGAAGAATATGAAAGAAAACTCTGTTTCAATATATCATTAACATAATAACAAATAATTATGAGTATCATAAATTTAACTTGCAAGACACATAGAGAACACACAAAAATGATAATGAACATTTAAAATGAACTTTTAAAAGTAAAGTACTTAACGTTCAAAACTTTTCAATATTGATCAGCGTACTATAGACATTTAAAATATTCAAAACTAATATTGAATCAGATCATATAAATAAGATATAAATAAACAAAATAT